CCATGGCATCGATAGATCCTCCTCCCCCCTTAAGTAGTACCATACCGATTGACCCACGATCTGAGGAAGGTAAAATACGGATCAACGACCTCCTGGGTGCTTGCTTCAAAGGAGTACTCCCGGCCCGGACCTCGTTAGTGTTAGACTCCTGGGGTCTTGTAGAGTCAGGGGATGACTTCGTTAGTGATACAGTCAATCAGGATGTGTACCGGGCTCAGGCAGACTGGTTAATGAACCGTGCTGTTTCTTTTTTTTTTTTTGATGATGAGGCGACATCCCTACCGGCAGATGTCAAAAGCTGGTTGGTTCGGATATATGAAAACGGGTGCGTGGCAACTGGAATTCCAGGGGCGGCCCCCCTTAGAGAGGTGCCTTCCGTAATGAGGGAAGTAACCTACCGACCTATGTGGCCTCGTCCAATCCAGTCGCTGACTGGATGCGTCGCAAATCGGGTGAGATGATTGCACTAGATGGGAAACTCTCGGGTGAGATGATTGCACTAGATGGGACACTCTACACTGTGTCCCCCCGCGCATGGATGACGGAACGACAACTCCATGATCGGAGAGAAGCGATGCAGAAGAAATCCTTTTGGATTAGATGCATGGAGGGGTTCCTTGTTTCTGCGATGGGGCAGTTGAAAAGTGCAGTCCAGGATGCCTTTGGTCCTGTGATGCGAGGATTATTCGGCTTACGTCAAACCCCTTTAGACCCGGATCTTAGGAACATCAGATTTGACTTGCTTTCTCCTTGGGCGAAATTGAGATATAAGAAATGCTTGCGGCTGCTTCCTCCTTGGGCGAAATTGAGATAGAAGAAATGCTTGCAGATGCTTCCTCCTTGGGCGAAATTGAGATGGAAGAAATGTTGCAGATTGATCTAAAAAACGGTGGGATGGATTAATTAAGAATTTAAGACAGATGTTGTCTGTGCTGAGACGGCTTGGTGTCGACAGTGCCGACGCCATTTTCACAAAGGAATCGGATGACAAGTGTCCTAGAAAGAAGAAGAAGCAAGCACGGAAAAGAGACACGCACGCACAAGGACATAGAGAAGGAACGAGACGATCCAGAACCTCTGTCACCGACAAGGACCGAAGATGGTTTGGAAAAGGAGAAGCAAAGATGGTTTGGAAAAGAAGGGATTTTTGAAAGATGGACAGGGTCCCACATTCAAAGAGATAACTTCTTCCAGACGAGGAGAAATCCCCAAGTGAGGGTTCTCACAAAGGGATAAGGAAAGGGAAGAGTTGGAACGGTGGCAAGTGGCAAGTTCCCTCTAGATCCCAAAGAATTAAACCCGTTCAAAGGGAAACCCAGGCAGGCATTCTTATAAGCCTGGGAAAGGGGAAAGGAGTAGCCCTAGGGGTGAAAAGCCCGGAAGGGTTGAATGCACGACCTATGAAGCCTGGGAAAGGAATTTGACTTTCTTGTTTTATTTTTGGAGACAAGAAGTCAAAGAAGAAAAAGAAAATGGAATATGTCAGGAAGGATGCGAATTCCACCTTGTTGTCTCATAACACCGTGGTAAGAACCTATTCTGAAGTCAAACGTGCTTACTTCTTTTATATCAATATTGAATTAAGTCGTTTGGCAGATCCTCAGCGAAAGGTGTTTCTGACTTAGATGGCGGCAGTAAGGGAGATCTCCCCCAACCCGTCAGGGTCGAAGCAACACCGACCCCAGAAGTTTACGACAAGGACACTACTAGCATGGTAAGTTCAGATTCAGATACTGATCAGGAACCGGCATCGGAGGATCAGACAGATGTTAATTTGGACTACTTGTTTCAAATTGGTGAAAATGCCCAGCCAGATGGGCCGCCAGGGAAGAAGGAGAAAGCAGATCCTCTGCGGAAGGATTTTAATTTGTCTATTCCCGGTCTGTCTCCTGGCAAACAGATCTCCTTTATGAACACAGCCTGTCGCAGTTCCGAGGAGAATGTTGCCCGCAAGAATGTCAGATTAAATTATGACTCTGCGGTACAGACGTCAGAAGAGTCAGGGGTTGGAGACTCCCCTGAAACAACGAAACTAAAGAGTAAGAAAAAGGGAAAGCCAGGAAGATCAGCGAGAAAATCCCCCCTACTGCTGGCAGAACCCATAACCTCCGTAGGACGAGAAGATAAGAACAAGCCACCTTCTTTTTCTTCTTCGTCTTCTTCTTTTGAATAACGACCCAGCCAATAGTGTGAATGATTACAAGCCTTTCCCTGGGTCCCATCCTCACAGGTAGGGTTCTACCCTGTAGTGCACTGCCATTTTCCTTTCTACCATAAATTCCTTTTCATCTGAACGCCGGTCTGTATTTCAACAGTTCGTGGGTGTACCGAATGAGTTAGTTCCTTGTACTGTAAGTTTCTCCTTTGACCCCTCTGTATGTTGCCACGCTCTCACCACGTCCAACTGTATTGTTGTATCAACCACTTTTTCTCCTTCCAACTTCAATGGCCCGGCAATTTCACGTGTACCCTCACACGTGAACCCTCACACATCTTGTGCCTAGTGAGCCGCCCTTTTTCGTGAAAAAGGGCGTCAGCATGTAGATATCATCGCCGAACTAAGTGGCCCCAGGTAATTCATAGTTATTTTATGTCATTCATGTGGATCCGAACTTGGGTCTGCGTTTCAACAGTTCATGGGTGTGCCAACTGGGCTAGGCTCATCGGTTCTGAGTGAGATTGAATCCCATGTGAGATCTGATGGATAGCAAAAAAAAGAAAAAAAGAAAAAAAGAAAAACGGTAAAAAAAAAAACTGTCTTTCCTGTTTATCCGTTCCTCAGCCAACCAGAGCGCTATCCAATATCCCACGCCATAGAGGATTGGGATTACTATCATGGAAGTCCAGACCTCTCCAGAACCAGCTAAGGTAAGTGTTTTGTACCTCTGCACTGTTACCAGTTTGTTGGACTCTTGAGAGCATGAGGATCGGAATGGAGCGTGGAACGCTGTGTGTGCCTTCTTCCATTTATAGCTGTTGAATCAATTGGCAATGCTGAGCGTTTTTGGAAATATACGACCTTCTTGTTCTTCTCGTTCTTCTCCTTCTACTTCTTCTTGTTCTTCTTGGTGTTCTTGTTGTTGTTGTTCTGTTTTTGTCCGTTTTTTTATGACCGATGCATTGATATGAAATGCTGCGATTCATTGATATGAAATGTTGTGACCTTGCCTGTTGTTATTGTTGGTTGTTTCCTCAGGTACCGTCGACTCTTTAATGACCACTCTTGGAAAATGGACAAAGAAAGCTGAGACTGTTGCGACAGATATATATAAACACCGTGAGTCTCTCTCTCTCTCTCTCTCTCTCTCTCTCTCTCTCTCTCTCTCTCTCTCTCTCTCTCTCTCTCTCTCTCTCTCTCTCTCTCTTCTCTATCTAACTCTCTATCTCTCGATCTGTATATGTATCTCTCTCTGTCTCTTCCCTCCGCCTTCCACCCCTTCCACCCTTTCGTTTCTTTCTTTCACTCCGCTCCCTGTACTCACTTTACGGTAAGTTTCTGCCCGTTTCTTGCTGTGTGTTCCTTTCTGTTTTTCCCGCTCAACCCTGTCTCCTATGTGCTGTTTATTTTCCTTGTCGTGTGCTTTTATTCTTTTCGGTCTTAAGATGTCATCATTGAGCTGCAAGGAACCCGACTGTTCATCACTTGCTGGTGTGCATCAGATCACATGCATATTCACAGATTTCACAAATTGCGATGTCTCACATAAAGCCCAATAGAAAATGAATGAGAACCAGGAAGCTCAACTCAATTATCAAACCCAGAATTAGAGAGAGAACATCGTGAGTTCAAAGTGTACAGCACCAAACAGAGTTAGTGTCACCATAGCTCACTCCTCCCCCTCTCTTGTCTGCTTTCTTCTCTCTCTCCCTCTATGTCTATAGTCCTGGTCTATTCACACTTATCATGCATGCACACTCCCTATCACACGAGGATCTACTCTGAATACTCACTGAACTCTTCTGTTAACTATCCCTGCTGGTATACTAACTAGCGCTGGCGCAGCTATGGCTGCCTTTCCTCCAGCCAGCGCTCACTTCCCTCTCACACAGCGCTGCTCTTCAGCCTAGCGCAGCTCACACACATCTAGCGCACAAGTGCTACGGCACTTCCACACTCTCATGCGAAGTGAGCATCTGTCCAAATGAGAGGCTGGCCAGTCCTTTATAGTGCTGGACTGGCCTGGCGTGGCCTGCATTCAACCTCAAGTGTCTGGGACTCCTGCCCAGTACCCGGTGTTGCAAAGTGTGTGTCCCGGTATCTTTTCCCATGGTCTGCTGCTGCTTTGGGCCATCGGGCCTATCTTTTGGACTCCTGGTCTGAATCAGGACTGACTCGTGGGATTATGACTAAACTGGGACTGTGGCCTTTGACTCATTGCCGAACAGACATGACTTTTCATCGAGGAGACATGACCCTAACTCAGTCTTGAAAACTGTGTCCAATACCTGTTCGTTCATGACCTATTTGTGACTTTTCAAAACGACTTTTCATCTCATTCTGGATGCGACATATGCCTCAGGGAACTTGTCTTTTGGGTTGCTGCTCGTGAGCTTAAGTTAATTCGTAAAGGCCCTTTTAAAGCTGACTGACCCGAGGAAATTCAGAATTATTTTATTCTGTTTATCTGGTCGCACCTGGATTTGAACTTTGGTCTGTATTTCAACAGGTCAGGTCAGGGGTGTACCAATTGAGCTACGTAGGCCCGTTGGTATTTTCATTTTTGAATGATCCTGTGCTCTCGTTTGTTGACCGGTGTTTTCCTGGCCGTACCAACCTTGGGAATCCTTGCTGTCTATCGCTGCTGCTTGTCATTTTCTTGCCCTCTTTCTCTCTGCCTATCTGCCCTTTTGCGTCATGCTGCCTACACCCAGTCCTCCAGTTTTGTCTCTGCTGTTGCCTGCACCCTCTTTTTTCCTCTTTCGTTGTCATTTTCCTGTTAGTGCACTTTTCTTTCCGGCAGCTTGTTGCCAGGCAAGAAAGAGGGCATAGTCGCACCACTCGCCACTCGGCGACATTTTGAATGCATCTGGACATGTCCGGTCCGTTGTCCAAAGTGAATTCAAAATCTTGGCTGATAGCGAGTGGTGCAACTAGGCCCTAAATGTGAAACCGCAGAAGATTTCATTGGTTGGAAGGTGGCAGAGGAAAAGGAACGATGATGCATGCATGGATAGATGGAAGATGGAAATGGTACTAGGCAGTGAGAAGGGGGGTGGTCTCAGGGCATTTTCACACTACCTTTTTCCCCCAAATACAATGTACGGTCATTATAGCTGTATCTAGACTGAAAGATGCCTCAAATACAGCTATTAATGACCGTACGTTGTATTCGGGGGAAGAAGGTAGGACTCTTTTACGTATGCTGGATGAAATCATGGGCAGATTCATCGGGGTCCGGCCGTAAATGCGGCCAGAATCCGTCAGATACGTTTAAGACCATGCTAGTGTGAGCACACCCTCCAGAGTCCAAGTTCAATGTAGAATAGTGAAATGAAAGATGTGGAAAGCGGTGGCAGATGAAGACTCTTGTCTTTGGTTCTACTGCCTTCTTCCGCCGAATACAGCCGATGGACACTTATTATCACAGTTTATTGACTGAAATATCACAGTTGATAGACTGAAACTTGCTCCAAATACAGCGATAATGATTGTACGTTCTATTCGGGGGAAGTCTGTAGCGAAAGTTATCTGAATCATGCACCATTCAATCCATTTGATGGTCGTACACGCGCTTGCAAGAAGAAACAGATAGAAGAGAAACCTTGAACAAACCAAATTAGGAAAGTGAAGAAAGAACTGCACTACTCGGAGTCCTTTGGGACATGCGTTAAAATTGGACCGATACAGAGAAGATTAGCATGGCCCCTGCAAAAGGATGACACACATAAACGGAGAAATGGTTCAGAAAAAAAAAAAAAAACTTGGGCCCCTGCATGACTCGGAGAATTGATCGACTCTCTCTCTCTCTCTCTCTCTCTCTCTCTCTCTCTCTCTCTCTCTCTCTCTCTCTCTCTCTCTCTCTCTCTCTCTCTCTCTTCATAAGAACAAGCAGGTGAGGCTGCGTCTGCATCTCGCGATCACTTGTTGACAAGCAAAACGCATCTTCCCTCATGCCTGACTTCCAAAAAGTTGAGAAGGAATTGGAAAGTCCGTCTGAATTGTTTATTTTGCCCGACCGAAAGCCTTGGGCCTGTACTGACGGAAAGCCCTGGGCTACTGACACTAGACTACCGGCCTACAGTCCTACAGGCCTGGTTTCAAAACCCAGCAGCAACACTCCAAACAAAAATCATACTAAATCTGAGTTCAATAACGATAGAAGCAGCAACAGTACATCGTCATGTCATTGAGCTGCACCCAACAAGATTGTACACCTGAAATTCTGTCCGGGTCTCTTGAGGCCTACGGGTTTCTGGTCTGCAATGTGCCGTTATTGCCTTGCACCAGGGTCGAGGAAGAGCCATAGCTTGACCCATGGGGACAGAGTACTTGGCTGGGTGGTCCCCACAGTTCTCACAAAAAAAGCGAAACTCTCGTCCTCCTGGATGACTAGAGGTTAAATGACTCTGCAAGTTACTGGCAAATTCGCAATGTAGTCGATGCGCATGTCCATCTCTGAGAAGTCCACACTCACCCAGCTCCTTTCCAATGCTACCCGCTCAGCTTCTTTACAAAACTATTCTCCCCACCCACTCAGCTTCTTTCCAATGCTATACTTCCCACCCACTCAGCTTCTTTCCAATACTATTCTTCTCCTCAGTAGGGATCGCTAGCTCAGTGGAGCAGCACCTAATGTTATTGCAGTAATCCGGCAGGATTTGAAGTTTGAACTCATGATCTATTTATGAACGGTCGCATGTGTGTACCATTCGCCTACTGGGGCGAGGTGTAGTGAAGCAACAGCCTACCTGAGCTATGGTGTGAATCTCACTCTCTTTAGCCCCACAAACAACAAGGTACCAAAACGCGTGCTGCAGACCAGGAAACTCGTGCGTTTGACAGAGCTTGTAATTGCGGGGGGCAACAGGGTTGTGTTATTCTGTGGTAATCCGCATCTCCGTTGAACCTGGGCACGGGACACGATGGTGCCGTATTCATTCATTCATTCATTAATGCTATAAAAGAAGGAATCTGGAAGCTTTTAGGACCAGGTTCATGCTTTCCAAGAACAAATGTACCACCAGCGGGACATGTTTCAAAGTGTACGCTGCGATCGTGATCACAGTACATTTGCCCGGAGGGGAAGACGAGCATAAATGCAAAATTTTGGGAATTCCGAAATCAGTTGTTGAACCTGGGCCTGAATGTTTTAGCTTTCCTGTTCTGAGGTTCTCTGGCAT